ACTCTATGATTCTATGATTCTATGATTCTATGATTCTATGATATTTTCCAAGGGGAAAAAGATACAGGAAATCACTTTTTTTTTCTACATGTATGAGAAAGGAATTTAACCTCAAGTTCCTATGGTTGCTTTGCATTTTAAAAAAGACTGTCATAGGAGAAAACAACAACAACCTAGAACTGGATACTATGTTTACTTAGACCATTATTCTTGGTAAAATTGCTCATGCAAGTGGTATATTCATGTGAGCAGTGTAATGTGAAATAAGCATATTTGCAGAAGATTCAGTAGGAACTTTTCTGTTCAGGATATGCTAGAGATAAAAGAAATTCCTATTCAGAGGTTGAATGAAAGTTAAATCTTCCATGCATAATCTTATCCCACCCACATTAAACTGTTCACATGAGTTGACTGATCAGATGAACAGCCATTTATGTTAGTAATCTGGCAGATAGAAGGTTGTTATTCATTATTTATAAGGAATCTACAATTTACTAAGCAAAATAGTGCTTACCTACAAGTTCACAGTCTAAAAGCCATGTAGAAAAGGAATGGGGAGGAAAGAGGAAAACTTGCAAACTGAAGCATGAATTCATAATGCAACACACTTATTTTTATTTAATGGGTTTTAAAATTGTCTTTCAGGAGAAATCGTTCTCACAAGGTGGTTTACAATAGATGAAATTGTATCAGCCAATTTGAATAGAAACAAGAAGAGGAGAAAACAAATGACAGTTTCTCTCTGAGCCAAGTTGATGGAATAGATGAGCCCCATTTCACCATCTGCTGCAACCTGGTGCAGTTGAAGCTAAAAGGTGACAATTGGGGGTGAAGGAAGGGCTGAGCCACAAATGGTGGCAACTGAACAACTAGGATGCTCCTGCGGCAGCCAGGTGGAAAGGTTGCTGACAGATGACAGTTGATGGAGAGGAGGAACTAAATGGTAACCAGAGTTCATACTACAACTGAAGTTTCCCTTTTAAGCAGGTTTTATTCTACCTTGTTCCCTACTGCACAAAGCCAGAGGAATAGCATTGAAGAAAAGGGACATAGCTACAGTGGGGGGCAAAATAAACACATTGCCCCTGCAAATAAAAATCAGCCCTCTTGAATGAAATTTTCCTACAGTTTCCAAATTTCTAGCATTGCACTACTTTAAAAGTTCACTTGCACATGTAAAAAAGCAATCTAGGCACACAACAAAAGGGGTCAGACACAGGAAATATGAGTTCTAAATGTGAATGTTTTTGAATATCTCTCTTTCTGCAATGCTAGAAATATGCATGTTGAAGGGAGATTTTAGGTGAGGACAATTTTTTTTATTTGAGGGACTATCTGCTGCACATCCCACTGATCTGTCCAGCACAATGTGTTGTTTTGTGTGGCCCTGCTGTAGCAGCTTGCAGATGGTGGAATAAATGTGGCTTTTCTGGCTTTAGCATGTATAGGAGATTCACTGGACTCACTAATGTCAGTAGTACTATGTGTGTGAAGGGGTGATTTCAGTTGTCACCATTACATCAGCAACAGCTAGAAATGGCTTCATTTCCTCTGCTTCCAGTGTGGAAGGTTATAGCATAGCTGTGTGGTAAGCAGCCACTAGGGGTTAATGGAAATTCATCAGCTTCCCAAATGAGATTGAAAATGAAGTTTTTGACCCATTCAGAAATTGGTTGTTATTGTTTGTGTGCCTTCAAAATATTTCTGGCTTATGGTGACCCTATCACAGGATTTTCTTGGCAAGATCTCTTCAGAGAGGTTTTGCAACCTTCCCCTGAGGCAGAGAATGTCTGACTTGCCCAAAGCCACCCAGTGGGATTTGAACTCTAGTCTCCAGAGCTGCAGTCCAATACTCAAACCACCTATGCCACTCTGGCTGTCAGAAAAAGAACCCCATGAATGTCCTGCAGCTTTGCCAGGACCTTTTTTTTAAAAAAAATATCCAGATAGCTGACAGCTCTTGTTTGAGGGGTGCAGCCTCCAGCCAGAAGTTCTGTGAGAGACTGGGGGAGTGGAGTTACAAAGGGACATTGTGAATCTTTGGCACCTGATGGGCACCACCCATCAGGACAGGGAAAATTGTGAATTACCATTCCTTCTTGTTACACAAATAATAATAATAATAATAATAATAATAATAATAATAATAATAATATGGTTTATTTATATACCGCCCCTCTGGCTAACCAATCTACGTGGTGAACAACAGAATACCTTAATACAGTCTGGCCAGAGAGAGGAGAAGGAGAGGAGCAGCTGGGCAGCCA